GTTAAACATAGGCTGAACGTTTAAAATAATGGACTGAATATAATAGGAAGGAAGGGTAAATTTATGAAGGATGAGACGGAGATGATTGACGTCGGAACAAAGTTAACAGGCTAGCATAACTTAGATTGGATAAGTAAATACAAACGTAAGAATGGCGAATTAAAAATAACCGAAGTCCACTGAGCAGCGTCATTGAGAGGACGGAAATCGCTCAGACTGTCAAGAAATTCCACTCCATTCGTGGAACACGAAGGTTCATCATCGTGTTCACACGACCCCACCACTGGTCCATAATATGAGCCAGATGAATCTATTCCGCTTGTAATTACAAGCAGAGATACAGACGATGGTACACAGGTAACAGACACTTTCATGCTGAGACGCATATATATTTGCTTGCAACTGAGTAAGTATCTGTTCTAAGCATTTTATATACCCCGAGATAAAAGTGTTACCTCATTGCTGTCATTTCCAGTATCGTCACTGGTCCCCAAAATCAAATTTAACTTTCAGCGCCGTCCAGATTCGAGAATTTCTCAGGCACAGACGTGAGGCTAATAGCCTAAATTTCAGGCGGTAGGAGCAATGCTACAAGACAGAAATTATAGAGTTCAAATCAAATTTAAGCTCTCTCTCCCTCTCTCCCCCTCCTCCTGTTCTGGGCCACCCAACACAAAACGCGGTGGGGGGAGGGGTGGTAATTTCGTCAGTAAATCTCCCATGTAGCACCTGCTCGTTACTGCTGCACAGACACAAAAGCGGTCTTCTTGAAAGGCAGAAGAAATGTGTTACATCTTGAGATTGTAGCAAACCGCTGTGTCATTTAGGTTAGAAGCTGCATTTCTAATTTAAAACCTATGAGATCCAAGTGGGTGGGCAGTCTGGTTGCCAGCCATGTGACACCGAGCTCTCTGACGTTCACTCACGTTGTCGGTGGAGGAAGACGTTAATGACTTCATAAGGCTCACCCTCATTTTCAGTAACTAACCAAGAAAGTCTTTAAATAAAATTACTGACAAGCGACAGGAAGACCAGAGTTCGATCCGAGGCAGGGACAGGATCGATTCCCTTCGCCAATACGCCCACGCCTGCGTTCAGTATTGGGGGGGGGGGGGGGGGGAAGCAGAGAGGGTATTTCCTGGACGGCCAGGGTGCGAAGCTAGCAACTCGTCCATAGCAAAAGTGAAGAATGCGTGGAGCATTCCTCCACTTCGCCTCAGATGGCGCGGAGCTTTGGCGCATTCATAATACTTTTACGTTTTACGATTCATGCACTATGAGTACTGGATGGTTTTTTTGCCGACGGCAAAGCAGAGGCGTGGAGGCGATCACTTACTTACTTACTTCC